ACATCTTTACAAACTTAATATATTCCATTTAATCATTAGCAAAGATGATTTAGACTTGAGAGGGAGAAAAAGAGGTTTAACGTCCACTGGACACAAACTAGGTCAGTTTGGGACGAACATATAGTGATGCATATGTTTGGTCATCTTTACTAGTTTGTATATTCCATTCAGTCGCCATCAAGGATGATTTTGACTTGAGGGAGAAATGAGGTTTAAGTTCCAATCGACACAAACTAGGTAATTTTGGGACATACGATACAGTTTTATTTCAATAATTCATGCGTGCGCGAGAATCCGTGAGATTGAACAGACACCACTAGACCATGTTACCTACAGGCTTGTAATGAAAACCATGCCACTTAACTCTATGACATACCTTATGATCTAAAGCGCATGTGTTAGATGACTTTTGACTTAACCAAAGGACAAGTTTCACAAATGTCCAATGATATTTACACAGAATAAATCTTATATGAATATGATATAGTAATGAAATGTATCATATTTCAGCTCTCGGATAAAAGATCACTACGTTGTCAATAGCTGCAGAGGATTCGTAGCAGCCCCTCCGGTAGGTTCTCCTAGCTGGAAATATTCCATGGAGAACCGGACAACCGATCTCAAACTGTTACGTCGTCCGTGGCTTGAATACAAATGAATACAAATGAGAATAATCGTTGTCTGATTCTGCAAAATTATACACCGGTTACGCCCCCACCCTACGATGATCGTGAACGTCCGATTTGGTCACAAAAACGTTATGATTTTTAACCAAAATACATGTAACATACTTTGGACGAGTAACGCTCAAATAACAAAATCTGGTACTAAGGTTGATAATCGATGGTCATTTTAACTCTTGAAGATAGTCGTCGGTCATCAGTAAAAGAAGAATCGCATTGCAAATACTGATTTTTATACATTTTCAGAATAGTGTAGCACACAAGTGGATTTAGTACCGGTCAGTGACTTCTGTCGCCTAGGGATCCCCATAAACCAAGTATATATGATTGAAAATCGCTGACTTTCTGGGTTATCATTTATTTTTTCAATGTTTGCATGGTCCTCTCGCCGACGCGTTCTTAACCAGTTCTATTGCATGCGTAAAATCTGTGGACGGTGGTATAGTCATTAAATACTATAAAGAATTATTTTAAAATGTTAATCTTGAGTTGGAGATAGTCATGCCTTTTGTAGGACTAAAAGGAATAGTCGATTTCACTATTAAAACAAATGTGTTTTCTTGTCATTCTTTTGTCATCTAGCTGCAGGAAGGCTGGTCACAGTTACCCGAGTATTGACTAAAATGGCAAAATAAATGTATCGTAAATAAATATAATGACTTCCAATACTTCAATTGAATAATGTATTGTAAAGCAGATCGTATACGATAGTCACACAAAGCGTGGAAATATGCCCACACAACAGCATTGTCTCGAAAAACAGGTTGTTGTCTATGGCTTTCACAAGAATATCTTACGGGTTCGTCCATTCATGGTTTTCGATAAAGGGATATAACTCCGCAAAAGAAGGGTTGGGAACGTTGAATATCGATAAGGTTCGTCCCCTCATTACCTCAATGCATCACACCAAAATTGACAACAATCTATAACACTTATGGCTTTCACAAGAATATCTTACGGGTTCGTCCATTCATGGTTTTCGATAAAGGGATATAACTCCGCAAAAGAAGGGTTGGGAACGTTGAATATCGATAAGGTTCGTCCCCTCATTACCTCAATGCATCACACCAAAATTGACAACAATCTATAACACTTATGGCATTCACAATATTTCGGAAACGGTTGGGGTGGTGTACCTCAGGAACTATGAATATTGGTAGAGTTCGTCTTCTCATGACCCCAATGCTTCAAAACAAATTTGAAAAGAATCCGTTACAAACTGGAGTTAATTCCTCTGCAGATTTGGTCAAAGGTCACGAAATGTAAACGGGGCTAGCCCTAGCTCTTACCCTAACCCTTTAACTAATCGTTACATAACCCGTGGTTAAATTTGAGTTGTTCAATTATTTTTAACGACGTTGCTATAATGTAACCATATGGTTAAGATTTAAAGATACTTTCCCAGAAAAGTATTTATCGGGTGGTTATCTCCAATAAAAGTATGGCAATTTCGGTGTATATGGAAAGTGGAAACATCCAATCTTACTAGAAAAATACTGGATTCCCTGAAAAACACTCATGGAGTGCATACAGGACAAAAATGTAAGGTTTTCACAAACCGGCAACCCGACGATTAGTGGTGTCTGCTCAAGTAACGTCAAAGGTAGCATGCGAAGATTATCTAATCTTACAGCAAAAATGTTTTCGCTTGCTATGTTCCCCATGTAATATAAGGTGAGGGATTTCTTTTAGCAGACTTTTGACAGTATTGTTATTAGTTCTCGTTCAGATAAGAGTGGTTCGTACGGAAGACCATTAGGGTCTATCAAATGAAAAAAAATATTCTGATTATCTCGTAGCTATCTTGTTATTACAAGATATGGAGAAAAAGCCAATGAGTAACTTATCGAATAGCTAGGCCAGCGCCGTACTTTATTTTATGTTACAGTATCGACACATCCATATCTGCTCCCATAAATATCATTTGTTATTTATATGCTTCCATTAAAATCATAAAGTGCATGCATACTCTCATTAACTTCATACTCCCACCAACTTCATACATGCATTGATATCATTAAATTTTATTAATATCTTGATTCATCAATTGCATGCTCTCCTTAAAGCCACAGAACGCTTTTTATTTTTATTTTTTCGGAAAACTTCATTAAATTTTGATTTTTGGCCGTTGTTTTTTTGACCGTTGACAGTTTTTATTATCTGCAGAAGTTGCCGAGTTTAGCGATTTTTTCGATTTCAACAGAAAATTAAAAACTGTGCAAAAGCCAACACGAACTAAAACAAAAAAACATTTTTACGGTTAATCGTTAAAGATAAAGAGTTGGAAGTTCTCACTATAATAGTTAAAAACTAGAAAATGTAAAGGGAATTTGCTGAAAATTTCAGTCAAATTGATCCACTCTGAACCGAGATTTTAGCGATTGAATTTTCGGCCTAGCCTCGATCATCATTACTAAAGTCGGTACGATAAAAAACATAGTCTCGATTATCCATTTCATGATTAAATCAAAAATGAAAGTTTAGCAGCAAATCTGATCCTAATCCAATAAATATCGGGGGCTAGCGTTGACATCGAGAGTTGATTATGGTTTGGATAAGTTAATTTATGCCTAATTAATAATTTAGATAACATTTCAGGCCTAAAAAAGACCTGCAATGGGTAAATTTAGCTCTTGCATAATATATATTTAACCTGACTATCCGATAAATCTGTGTAGAGTGACTTTGAAATAAACTAGTTAGAACACTTTTTTTCATGTGATTGACCCTAATGGGCTTCTTCGTATCCTGTAATTACAAGATAATCAGAATTGTTTTATTCATTTAATTGGCCCTAATGGTCCTAACAAAAGGCAGAGGTTATATTATGCAAAGGATCGAAAAGTTATAAATATTCATGTATTATCAATAAATCCTAATGTATTTAAATTTTGAAATATTAATTAATTATCTTTGAACTTTGATTTATGCTGAAGAAATCTGTTTATTTTCATTTTCATTTAGGGCCTCGTAATAATAGCGTCTAGTCGTTCGGATGGGACAAATAATGGCGTACCATTGTTGTGCATGTAAATAGAACCATTTGAGAAATTGGATGTCATTGGATCACGATTATCTAGCGAGGGGAAACCTATTTGTCCACAATGATCTACAGCAGTGGTGGTTCTTAACCGGGGGTACATGTACCTCCTCAGTGGTACGAAGCATCAAAGCAGGGGGTACGAGATATGGTGTCAAATTCAATAATGTATAGGGCCTATACAGTAGTCATTCTAGACAGGGGGTACGGGGAAATATTACGGACGCTCAAGGGGTACGAGCACATAAAAAGGTTAAGAACCACTTACCGAGAGAAACCACTTGCATAAAAGCGCATGGAAATGAATACTTGCTGCTTCACTTATATGTGTATTAGTTTCGCGTTTTAGGTCACTGTCAAGAAGATTACGTATGTAGGTAATTGACTTTTTTTGTTCAAGGGTGTATCGAGCTTTTTTATGTTTAAAGTTGGAGGCATGAGCAGGAGTACTTGCCTGGCAGATGCACTTTAAAGGAGCCAAATCGCTAACATTTGGGACCTAGAAATTGACAAAAGTGGGTCGCAACGCATATAATACTGTGATATGAATGTATATAAACTGATTTACATTCAATGGTTTCCGTTTTTACTCCAATTTCAAATCAGTTATGTTTGGCGAAATAAGCCAGCAGTCTCAAGCGAGTGCAAATGTCTAGCGTCTGGTTATTCCAATCTACATATGCCGTTTGATTTGGTGCAATGTGTCTAGCCTCGTCCCTCGAGTTTCTTGATATATCTGGGGCTGAAGCGCATTATGGTACACGATTCGTGTACCAATGGTAAAATGTTTATTTTGTCTTAAATATTGGATATCAAAAGCCCATCTTTTTCCAGTAAGATCACAACATGAATGTTGATTTAATTTGACAAATAATTTGAAGATTTTGGATAATATTGAGTTAGAGACTTAGCTCCTTTAATTGATTTAATGACAGGTTAAATCATTTAACGGTGCCCTGCTAGGTGGGTTAAATATGCGTTAAATTTAAGGGCATGGTGAACAACAGATTTCTTTTGTCGTTAAATATAACGACTATGTTAAATAATTTAACCACATCGTTATATTTAACGACAAGATGAACCATCGGGCCCAGAAGTCATTTTAAACTTAACATTGTCTCCATAGATAACATTCGTTACGAGTTATAACACAAAACAAGACCAACATATAAAAGTTTTATTAGTAATTATATATACAATATTCCACTTAAAATGCTATTTTAGCTTCATGTCATTTTACTACTCAACGTTTATAAAATAATATAGAAAAATCCGTAACAAAATAAAAGTTTGATTATCCATCTGATTATTCGAACCATATAATTTCTCATCATTTGTTCGTAGAATGAAATAGTCAACAAATGCACCGTTAAAGACTAATGATTATTAACAATTGGTTAATCTTAACAAAAGCATTAAATGGCAACAAAGTCATGACCTAAAATATGAAACAACAAATCGGACTTTATTGTTATTTATTTCATAAACTCAGAAGTTTAGTCTTGGAATTCGAATCATTCGTTCTGCTGTCATGGGAGTGGGGGCTTCGATAACTTTGACCTGTGATTTTGATTTGATAAATCTAACACTTAAACACATAGTAACAAATAATAACAATACAACAGTTACAACAAGTATAACAATAATAACAACAATTCCTTCTGATTGAAAACATTTTTCTGAATGGACTTGATTTTCTTGATCCACTGTTTCGACGGTTTCCTCTGAAAATTTAAAACACGATTGTTTAGAAAATCATATACATGAAATCTGTTAGTTCCCCCAAGGCCATCGCAAATATACATTGCTTATACAAACGTTGTGTATGATTCGTAATCATCAGATGCCAAATATTCTAAATTAAAATATATCGACGTCTTTAATGCAGGTCAGTACAAATAAGAAGTCAAGAAAGGAGAGGCGTGAATTCCTTTTAACAAATTTTATTTCTTTCACTGTAAAACCCAACAAGCCATGGGGTTTTCTATACTTACTTGGTAAGTCATTGCTCGGAACTACTGGTACTACAATTCTGTCAGATGGATCTAATACTGTTAGTGTTTCTTTCAATACAATTTCGGCACTAGCACCTCCCGAAATAGCACTTCGTCTTCTTCTGCTAACACCACCCGTTTGTGCATTACATTGTGGCTACAGAAATAAAACATTATATACTTTTCTGTCTGGTACACAGAGAGCGTTTAGCAGTACGAAGCATTTTTTAAAAGTAAATCCTTACTACTTTTGGATACAACAATAATGTTATGCAAAATATTGCTCAAATTAAGTCAAACGGGTATATATAGATGTACGATTCATGACACGCGTGAACCCTCCCTCTATGTCTGGTAGTCATAAGACCGAGCACTTGTAAGTGTATTGGGGCACGGGGGTGGGAAGTCATTTGGAATTTCGATTATGTGATAACGCAACAGTATATTTTAATGGAATTTTAAGAAAATTAATTGTTCATAACACAAAAATATTTAACTTAATATTACAGCTAAAAAAAAAGTTGAACTTGGCTATACGCAAACTTCTGCGTTTTGTTGGATAGAAATAAGCTTAATTTTGGGGTAAATCAACTAAAATCATGAGCGTTACCCCAGAAGGTTCGCGTTGCCATAGGCGCTAAGTATAGTAGAATTGACAGCAGAATTTGTTTTAAACCAGTTTGAAGCATGGGCGTTACCCGGGGATAGGTAACTCATTTGTGTCGGATAAGACTCTTGGGGGTCCATATACACTAAGCCTTAGAAGAATGGACAGCAGAATTGGTATTATTACATCTGATACTTACAGGTGTACAGGCTGCATCATTAGGTTCACAAACTTTTACATTACATTCAAATGATATGACTGGCGAATTGGAGAATCGGAAGATGCTAAAGTATACAATGGCGGATGGCATAATATTATCATACACAACACCTCCCTTCATGACACTTATGCCATCAGCTGTTGGGCACCTGTAAACAATCATAATTTTATCATGAATAAATATATTGCTATATAAACATTCTACGGGATTCCACGAAGTAAAAGTGAAATCTTAACAGTGTAAACATCAATAACATAAATAAATTATGTGTGAGAAAGGTTTACAGCTATACTGTAAAGAAATGGGAGAGGAGAGGCGATCCCACTCCTTGGCATCATGAAAACTATGATCCCCAGAAACCAACTTTAAATTCTTCGTCTACTCAACCCACGATGGTCTACCCAACCCACGATCGTCCATTAAGTTTAAAATGAATATAGTTTAAAATACAATAAAACAATTACCCATCATCTACGAGTCTGACTCTGAGTGGTTGTGGTGCATCTGGTCCGTTTAAAGCGTCACAGCTCAAGAGAAGAAGTGACGTATACTCTGAAAAACGATTATTATTGTATTTTTTTAAGAATTTATTTTATATCACTTCGGGGTATTTTCAGAATTTTCAGATTCAGTCTAATACCGTTTTCGATTATTACTAAAGTACATATCACATTAAACTGTGTTGAATCCAATTGTGTTGAAAATTCGTATTCATAATGGATAATAATAGTACTTTGCTTAATTAGTCTTCTTCCGAGTTAAAAGAACTGATTTTCGAAAACATCGATTTAAGAAGATTTACCCCAAGACAATTTATTTCTTAAGTTTTGAAACACTTCGACCGGGGAAAGACGATGATAATTAGTTAATAAATACTTACTTCTAGTATCAGCCAAGGGGAAGTAAAGTCTGAGAGGTGTACCGATATATAGCGGGGGTGCTATAGCCATACCACTAGCGTCTTGTACAGCAAACAGAACTGGTTCATATGTAGTTATTGTCTGATCTTCTGTTAGATTAGCTCTTAATTAAAACGAAATATTTAGAATTTAATATACTTAACACTTGCGTTGAATGGGTAAAGTTTTGGGACAAGATAATACTTTGCTGTTTTAATATATTGTAATTTTAATTTTTGTATATATATAAAAAAAATAAGTTAGTCAGCAATAATGTTAACAGCAACAGAAACATTTATAAAGCCTGTTATTTTAATAAATTTCTAACCGTTGATCTACAGCGACACTTCCCACATCATTACTGACCGTAGCTATTCCAGAGTTCATGTGGACACATGTAGCTTTTACCACGATATCTAGAGATGTTTCAAATGAAGGTGAATTTTGGATGATGACTTCCGCGTCATAAACAGCATCTCCAATCTGAAATGACAACGCAAAACCTTACCGTAAACTTAGAATTGTGTGGGGATTGACCACGTTACTTGGTTATTATAAGGCGAGGGAGGAGAGAGCTTTGCAATGACAGTGACGTCTTACTTATAATTATCCAATTCAAACTGTTATAGATTTAGACGTTTTTTAACTATCCAAACCATTGGGTACACCTTCTTTACAATGAAGTAAGAATCGGAGTTTCCCAGTGGATTCTCTTCTCTACCCACATCAGAACATTTAGTGGCGGAACAAGTTTTCTAACTATACTGCCCTACAGCGTCTCCTCAAAGTTTTAGAAGTATACTTACAGCAGGTTGATCTGGTGTTTTAAGTATTGAACAATCACTGTTAAATGCCAGACTTGCTTCATAGTTTAAAATACCAGTAATAGGATCGGTTGACCCGGTAAAGGCACATGAAAGATCTGTTCTGTTGTCTTTAATATATACTAAACCAGAAAATGCTGGATAAGGAACAATGGTGATCGTAATTGCGTCACCACTACATGTAGCCACCGCTGAAAATCAAATTTGAATCGATAAAAAACCGAATCTCTGGCCGTACGAATTTTTAAAGGTTCGCTCCACTGCTTTCAATTTTCTGAATAATATACTAGCACCAAATTTACAAAAATGCGTTTCATTCAAACACTATCTTACTCATGTTTTGTTTGTCGCTGGGTTGCTTTGAGTTTAGTGTTCACGATTGTGTTAGTATAGGATAAAGGGGTATTTCATTCCATTGAATTTTGTGTAATCCGAATTTACTCAAAATAATAATTAGATTGTGAAATTAAAAGATAATGCTATAGCAAAAGTTTAATTTTATCATTTACTTAGTTCATTGTGTAGCGCATTTCAGATTTTTTTTTTTTTATATATATATATATATATAGTTTTAGTAACAAATAACGTTAAAAACATTTTCGGATTTCCGGAATTACGAAAACACCCGACAATTATTGACCAGGGCCCTGTTTCTCGAAATCTTAACTAAAGTTAAAATCTAAATTTTAGTAGATACTTCAATTTTGATTGGCTAAGCACTAAAATCAACCTAGTATTATCCAATCAAATTACTAAAATTTGGATTTTATCTTAGTTAAAATTTCGTGAAACAGGCCCCTGAAGCTAAATCACGTGACGTAAGAGGTGACACTCATGTAGCAAGAGATGTATATATAGTTCTATATAGCATCGGCAGAAAGTGACAGCTTGTCAGACATTGATTTCGCCCCGAATGTTTTTCCCTATCAGTACGAGCCAATTAGAAACGCGAGCAACAACGGAGTCCGTCAATTCTCGATATCTTTCCGCTTCATTTATTGATGTTCACGCTTCATCGGGGAAAATATATCAGAGAAAAACTATTAATTCCAACAAGTTTAGGCCTACCCTTGCCATAGGGTAATACGGTATCATATGCCCTAGCCTACTTTCCTTGCGCAACAATTGAAAAACGAGGGTCACGTCGTATAGCATTAGCTACCTATCGCTGAAAAATAATTTCTATCACACTCATTTAGCTAGTTTAAACTGACGGACTTCCTACATGTAGGACTATCTATGATCGACTGCAAAATCATCGACACAGGCCTACACCTACTACTGACGAGGAAGGGGATTCGAAAAGGGGATATTAATTTACATTAGTAATTAGGCTACCTACCTGTGTCGTTTACATTTCGTTGCTATGGTTACATCAGTCATTTTTATTGCTAGATTTTTAAAGCGTGTCGGTTTCACCATAGAACTATGCAGAGTTTTAATATAGAAAGATAACATAACTGCCATATCTTGATCGACATAATAATATTATTAAAATCACGTTCGTAAGCAGATAACTCGAAATGATCCCAACAAAGAGAATGAGAAGCGTGTTTTGATGGAGACCACCCCTTCTCGCCTCGTCGACATCGCTGTGTGCAGGCCTTTCTGCGTGTTGCCTGGCTTGGAAATTTTTAAAAAATATGACACGTGCCCCCTGACTTATTTTTTGTGCTATTAGTACATCCCCAAGCAACGCGATTGACCATGTTTATGCTTCCAGTTAGTCAAAATTCAAAGTGACGGGATACAGTGCTCAGTTGCAATTGCCTTCTATAGGGAAATTCACAACGTCCGTCGTCTCTAACGTCAGTTACAGAAAAAATCAAAACGAGGCTGCAGATAGACAGAGGTTTTTTTTGTTATATTTTTCCTTTGTAAAAATATTCAGAATGACTTTTAAATTTTCGTAGGGCTAAAAATATTCTAATATTAATGTTATTTTTCATATTAAAACAACTTTTTGCGACAGTATTCTCCTTTAATTACTATTTTAATTAAAGCGACGTTTCGTTGAGGATTCTAATTTTTATTAATTAGCTGTTACTTGTTTTTGTATATAAACCTTCTGTACATTATTTTCATTATCATTTGCTTGGAAACGTTGAGAGAACCCTCAACGAAACGTCGCTTTAATTAAAATAGTAATTGTGTTCCATATTATGTTTTTGTGTTTATTACATATGTCAATTGCTAAATGCCGCTCAAAGAAGATAAGATCGGGTGTTATGACTTGGTCTACGCCATTTTTCTACTTAAAGATGAAATACTGTACTAAGAATATCTATAGTTCACCTGCATTTAATACTTATATGACGCTTAAGTTCCAACAAACCTCCTAATCTGTTAATACAATACAATCGTTGTAAACTCACCTCGCCTTTTTTCACAAGCTTCTCCATAATAAGCATCATCAGCACAGTAACACTTACTTAGTGATCCAACTTTCTGACAAATGCCCACCATTTGACATGGTGGGTCACAAGCTTCTGGTCCAGCAGGTACAAGAGCATCTATAAATGACATTGATAGATTTCTGAATAACATGGTTTCGGGTTTAATACCTTGTCAACACTATACTTGAGTAATTTTCCTATAATATTTTCTATTTTTGCTCGGCGCCACACCCTGCAGTCACTAGCTTATGCCAGGGAATCCAGTCATTTTTTCAGGAATCTGAAGTACTGGGGCATAAGGGGGTTTGAGGAGGTTGTCTCCCACCGGGCGCGATAACAATTTTTAATTTCGCCAAACGGTAGTGGAGTTTTGGGATGTTTATCTAAATGCCAGAATTTTCATCTCTCAAATAATACCAAAGCTTGCCGGTTTTCTAACGTAGCAATGTATTAATATTGACATTGTTGAAACAGGAATATTTATCAACAAGACCTATGATATATGGACGATATAAAACGTCTCGTTACAGATCTGTTTGGTTCAACTAAATGTTTAAGTTTTATCATATCATCTGTTCATTTGCAGAATTCGTTCATAGGACTTGTTTTCGCCAGGGATTAAGAACGCTTGTGCTTGATTTTTATTTTGAGGCCAAGACACATGTACAAGTATTTAATTTTTATGGCTACGTATGCAACGCAAAGAGACATCTTGCCCAGCTCTTGCTTCACTTCATGTGCTGTAACATTCACCTATGACTGTACGTTATTCCCATTTCTAAAACACATAATGCACATACTAATTAACTCGAGAATATGGATTAAATCATTAGAGTAGTCATTTCCCTTACTGGTTAATATGCTTTGGCCAAGAATTTTAGCACCGGGTGCTGTTGTCTCTTGTTTTCTTTACATATAGTTAATTTGTAAAATTCAAAAAAGACTAAATAAATTATTACTTATATCTAGACCACAATCGTGACCTTGATGTGTTGCATCACATACACATATACCGGTATCTGGATCACATAATGCACATACTAATTAACTCGAGAATATGGATTAAATCATTAGAGTAGTCATTTCCCTTACTGGTTAATATGCTTTGGCCAAGAATTTTAGCACCGGGTGCTGTTGTCTCTTGTTTTCTTTACATATAGTTAATTTGTAAAATTCAAAAAAGACTAAATAAATTATTACTTATATCTAGACCACAATCGTGACCTTGATGTGTTGCATCACATACACATATACCGGTATCTGGATCACACGGTGTTCCATTTTCACAATCCTGACCAATTCTTCTACAGTCAAAATACATAGAATTTACACCTAAAAAATGATTATTTTAACACAACAATTAGTATATACTTTGAAGATTTATTCGTTATTGTTTAGAAAGCTACTTTTGTAACGTAGTTCTTTTTTATTATTATTTCACTTGTCTGCAAATTCACTTTTTATATCGGAGCAACAAATCTCGAATACTCACAGCTGACTACCACTAGAAGAACCGTTGCTTTTTCTACCCAGTACATCTGAAAAAAAAACACATTTTTTTTTAATGGTAGATCCAATTTGATTATTAAGACACGCCTAAATTACATTGTGCGCTTTGTAATTCCGATTAGATCTGAAGAAGGTTCTATTCGTCTTACGTTATGTTATAGATTGTTTAATGTGCTCTGTCAGTACAATATGCACCCTATATCACCGAAATGGAGATAAATCTTCATTAAATAGTAGTTCTATTATTTATGCTATTATAGCCCAAAAATGCAGAAAGTAACCCCAACATACATTCTTCTTTTAAAATTGTGTGGGTAAATCCCTAGCTATATCCTCCTGCTTGATCTGCTTTATGCATGAATTGAGTAATTTATTTATTCAAAAATGAACAGATAATACAAAACCAGGGCGATTATCGTTCATTGATAAATGGTATTTGACAAGATTTCATTCTAGGATTGTCGCTCTTTTTAGTAATTACAAATGTTATGTATGTTGAAAATCTCGGTTTTACACCAAGGACAATAATATATTTCTATAAAGCGAACATATACCCTTCAGTTGAAACTTGTATACCTTGAGTGTAATTTTCAGCCTGATAACCTTTTTTTAAACTACCGGGCAATATGTACAAAATATATTCGATTCGCTAGACATGATCTTAATACCTGAAAAGTTAAGGTTAAACCATTGATTGTTTATTTTTTAAAAAATAATTTTTTAGCATTATTATAATTCCTGGACATACTTTAATTTGTAAATTTTGAGTTTTTGTATTCATTGCAAACTCAAATAAAACATGTATAAATCAACACTTACCTTTGCTGAATTTTAAAACTCTCTTGGACTAGAAAAACCATAGAATCACGAAAACACAGTAAACCCAAGATAAATCTAGATGATACTTAATCTCTAAATATAATAAAACGATGGCAAAGAGCGTTTTTATAGGATAATGGCCGGTCGGAATCTGAATCGCCAGAGGGTAAATAGATTTGTTTTATGGTTGTCTGACAGATCTATTGGTGGTATGTTAAGGACAATGTTACCCTGGTCACTGACGTATTTGAAGGTGGTTCCAAAATTGTCTTTATTTTATTATAGCTACGATCTAAAATTAAGCGTAAAATGCTCGAACATGAAGTTATTTATGTATTATTTCAACAGTATTTGTTTTATATGTGATAATATTAATGTGTTTTATGTTAAGAAAGGACAGTGTTCTTGTAAAATATATTATGTACATTTAATTACATGTTATTACTTGT